ATATGTCTATCTAACAACTGTCAAATACCTATATATCTTCTATCCATTTTTCCATCTACCCCCTGTGAAGCTGCATTTCATAGTGGCTAAATGCTTAGGCTCTGGAACAAGCAAATCTGATTTCAACTCCAGTTCCTCCCATTTATTACAGTGTGACCCTGAGCCAGTTTCTTGGTCTTCCTGAGACCTCAGTTTTTCCTTTATAAGGAGCCGATAAGAAATACCTCTAATTTCACTGTTTGAGGCTTTGGGTATTGGATGGAATAATACATGAAATGACTAGGCACAGAGTATGAAGGACTAAGTGTCTAGTAAACAGTAGTTAATGTTGTTCTGATCAGAACCTTTGAGATCTCAGACCTTTAAAAGCAATAAGGAAAAAAGGCTTATATGTCTTCAGTGTTTAAATTTCCAAGTCCATCAGTAACTGCCAAAACAAAAAGTGTATTGCATTAACGTCATTGAAAATAAGAATTACCCATCTGTACTTTCATGGAGCAATCAGTTGTGATGGTCAAACTGAAGCAGTCACTGTAAGGTACTGAAAATAGAGGTGAGTATTCTGAAATATGTACAAAATGCTAAGACCAGTGGCTGGGTCAGGCATTCAGAAAGGATGACTCCTAATTAAGTCTTCAAGGGTGAACATGAGTTTACCAGATAGGAAAAAAGAAGAGTCATGCTTGGCCTCTGCTTCCAGTATTCTTGGCAAGAGGCTTGCATGAAGTTTCACAACCAGCAGGATTCTGGGGTAGGGGGTTGGGGGGATTAAGTCGCAGCTAAGCAAATGTTTCTGACAGATCTTGATTCTCAGATAGCTAGAAATCTGAGATTGACAAACTTTTAATAGAAGAACTGCCAATACAAAGACAAAAGCAAAGACCTATTTGAAGGAGAAGGAGAGATTCAGCAAAAACATACACCAAAGAAGAGGATACAGGGAAATGTGGTTATCTCTGTTGGGAGGACTAATTGACTTAAAAAAATGGTAAAGCGTCCAGAACACACAGGTCACCCAGCTGCTCTGACACTGTCTAGCAATAATCCTACAACACCCAAAAGGAAGTCACTTGGTTGTGCTCTCCTTAAAAAGAGACTTCCACAGAAATAGAAAGGTAGGAAACCAACTAACCTCCTTAGGCTTCATTTAGCTGCTGGCAGCCACATGCCTACCTACCCTTAAGACAACAGTCTAAATTTGCTTTCTCAGTATAGCAGCTACTCATTCCTTCTCAAGATATCCTGGTTTGGGTGATAAATGACTGTTGCCATCTTATTGAGTACATGCAGCAAATTACTGATTTTACATAAAAGATTAGGACACGCAGCTTTACAGTAGGAAATACATTTCATGGTAACCAAAAGCACCAGTTAAGTAGAAAATATACCTCAGAGAAGAAGGTCAACCCAGAGCAAGTAACACACGAAGTAAGTAGGCTGGGCATGGTAGCAGATGACTTTAATCCCAAGGGGCAGATGCAGGAAGATCTCTATGAGCTAGAGGCCAGCCTGATCTACACAGGAAGTTCCAGGCCCACCAGAGCCTGCCTCAACAACAATAACAACTATTACTACTACCACTATGATCATATTACAGATCCTACTGGGGTTAGTTATCAGCAAGGGGTATAAATTAATATAAAAGGGTTCAGTGAAAAGCTAACATCACTCTAACAGCACTGTAGTCCCACTGCTCACCTTGAATCTAAGCCTTAACTTCTGGTGTATAACAAACCCTAATGAGAAAGAAGCAAGCAAAATTGTACAAAGAATCAATCAGGAAACCCAGGACACTCAGAATGCTTGTGAAATGTAAAACAGGTAGGGTAGAAGAGTCTTAGGAGACACAGCTACGAGATAGATGCAATGTTATTCCCAAAATTAACCCACCTAAATGATATTTTAGAAGAACCCGAGGAATCTAAACATAAACTTATTATTGGCGTTAGGTATAATTTATGCACCATTATTAATTATATAGCAAAATGCCTTTTTCTTACAAAGATACACATAATGAAATGTCTAAGAGTATATAAGATGTTATAATTTTTGTATTATTTCAGCAAAAAGAATCATCTAATATAAGTAGGTATATGCACTCACATAAATGCAATTTAGGAAATCAACTTATCCCCAACCCCAGTATAGAAAAGTAGGAACACATAAAGATCAATCAGTTGGGGACTTAAATCAGCTTGTGCCAGGGCCCCCACATCACTATCAGCTCTGTCCAACCAGCAGGTACATTCCTGTGCTGGACTTGGTTTATGCTGGCAGAATTCTAAGGTAGTGGCTTTCTGAGGTGGAGAAAATGCTCAGTACAACACTCAGCCTACAACACTCGGCCTACAACACATTACAGTAATATGCAAAATTCACCATTAAGTAATGAGTACACATCTCAAAATCCACAAATCTCACTGGCAGAATGTCATGAGAGATGACAGAGGCTGTCTCAAGAGAATATCTATGTTCAGTCAACAGTTCCATGCAAAAGAAAAATTTCAGTGGTCTACCCCTGAGCAGGGGACAAACTAGGTTCTTCATGTATAGCCATGACCTTGGTGGATACATAAGAATCAGATATTGGAGTTTTGACTCCCTGATAGCAAGGCCTCTCTATAGACAGAATCATAATTATAGATAATGAGTAAAGAATAGAAGAGTAGAAAAGGGAAGAGATAATATATAAAATAAGCATAAACAGAGGTTGGCTTGGGCTTAGTGGTAGAGTGCTTGCTGCATATCCAGAAGGTTCTAGGTTCAATCTTCAGTACTAGAAAAGGGAGGGAGGGAGGGAGGGAGGGAGGGAGGGAGGGAGGGAGGGAGGGAGGGAGGGAGGGAGAGAGGGAGGGAGGGAGGGAGGGAGGGAGGGGAGAGAAGAGGGAAGGGAAGAGTCATGGAGCATTACTTAGAAACAGGATCTTGTTAGCAAAATGAAAGGCAGAAGGGAGTTAAGGGAGAAGCCGAGAATCACAATGAGGGAGGAGGGGCAAACGACAGGAGGATGAAACATAATGAACAGGAACAGGGGAGGGTGGGTAAACACAGCAGCGACACAGGGAGACGGATGAAATTTGAAATGGCAAAGGAAACAGAAGGACAGAGGAGGCAGGAAGTAAAAGACAGCTGGTCAAAGGTAGAGGAGGCAGAATTTGGAATAGACAAGAGACAAACGCAGGTTTTCTATCTATGTACTCACATAAACTTACGCAAAGGGAATGGGGGGGTGGGGGGAGTAGGGTAGGTGGAAGGGTCCAGAACCCGGATGGTGACATGCAAGGAGGGTCAGGAGGGAAGGACAGACAGTAACAGCACATGCCAGATGACTGCACACACTGGAGTGCATGTTAAACAGGATAGATGGAATGCTGCTGTCAGTCCAGAATGACATGATTTAAACTACCAGATGATACGAAAGTACTTCATTCAGGCACATTTCTATGATTTGAACCATAATTTATCTTAGGCAAAAATGTAACTTCACTGTAAAAAGAATGCATAATCCCTGGGCCTTCTAAGCAGTCCTGAGGGAATCAATCAGCCAGTCGGGTCCCCTCATTTTGCTCTGATGCTTACTCTTAGCCACTGGTTCACTTATAACAGGGACTGGCTCAAGGCTGTGGATTGTTTCCCATCCTTTCTTGTGTCTAACCGGAACCAAACTAAGAAGGGGAATGGTAGATTTACCTAATTAATGTAGACAGAAATCTAACTAGAGAACTAAAAACCAACAATCAACTTTATTTTTCAGATCTTAGCTATCTAGATCGATAGCTACAATTATTATATATTAATCCCATGCTGAACTTCATTCTGTTATGTACATCTGAAGACATAGATTAACAGATCTGTGTTGGATGCAAATCTTTCCCAGGACACATGAGACTGACTGATAGCTCACACAGTAATTCAGGAATGCATGTAAAATTTAAGCTCTATCAATAATTGTTCTTTGAAAGCAGATAAGGTTCTGAGAATTAGAAATTAGGGAGTCTTATGTTTTGGGAAGTCATGATCAAACACATTTTTATTTGCAATTTCTAATCCATGCCCAATGCTAAGAACAGAATTTTTATAAAAAAAATGTTGCAAGGTTTCAAGTTGCAATATGTCTTCGTTTGTCTATTGCTGTAATAAAGACCATGGTCAAATGCAACTTGGGAAGGAAAGGATTTAATTCATCTTATACATCCAGGTAACAGTTCCTCACTAAATGAAAGAAATATAAGTAGGGCAAGGAATTGGGGGCAGGAAGTGAAGCAAGGCCATGGAGGAATACTGCTTAATGGCTTGCTCTCTGAGGCTTGCTTACCCTGCTTTCTTATAGCACCCAGGACCACCATCCAGGGGACAGGCCCTCCCACATCAGTCATTAATTAAGAAAATGCCTCACAGACTTACCTACAGGCCAAATTAATGGAGGCATTTTCTCAGTTGAAGTTCCCGTGCTTGTATCAAGTTGAAAAAAAAAAAGCTAACCAAGACATAATGGTGCATAGATTTGTGGATCACTGGCTAGCAATTTGAGGAAGAAAACAGGGTGATGAAAATCAGATCACTTTTGTTTTTAAGTAAAGCACAGTGAAAGAAATACTTCCTTTTGTTTTAAGTAAAACACAGTGAAAGAAATATTATTGGAACTGTGGCTGTAGCTTAGATTGTAGAATACTTGCTGACCAGGAGTGAAGTCCTAAGTCTGAGCCTTAAGATACATAATTGGCATAGTGATATATTCCTGTAATCACAGTACTCCACAGTTGAAGATAAACTAGGAGTTCAAAGACAACCCGGGCTACATGAGATTTGTCTCCAAAAACCAGAAATATTCTCAACCATATGACCTCAGTACCTTATGACTGAACCTACACTTACGAGTTTGACACTTAGATATTATATATCATCTAGGTTTTATTACCATATGCACAGCACAGACTACATTGTTACAAATATCACAGAACAGCAAACAGTTTCTCAGGGCCTGCAGTGCAGATACTCACTATTTGGTAGAGTCGGATAACTGATACTCTCGTCGTCTGTCATAGCACTCCTGGATTCCAGGATCATTCCACAAGCTCTTTATTGCATCTACATATGGATTCTCAAAAGCAGACACCTTCTCCACATCAACCTCTCGGACTAATTGTGCATGAGCCTGTTTAGAGGGAAAAAAGGCAACTGTCTGAATACTCTGAACATTGCTTTAGCAAATCTTTGATTCACACTTTATATTATATACAATCCAAGCAATATCTTAATAAACTGGTTTTCAAAATGGCTCATAATAACGTGTCTTCATTTTTTGTTTTTCTTAGTGAGAACCTAGTCCCAAATCATCCTCTCTAGAGGAAATCCGAAGCTAAAGTTATTAGAAGGAATAGGTGCAAAACTCTTTCACCATGACAGCAGGGATGCCCTGCTGTAGAGGCCAGTGTGCTAACTGGTTATCACAACCCCCTAAGCAGCTGGCAACTTGTTATAACACACACTCATCCTCAACCCCTGAGGATCTCCATCAACAGAAGCTCGGAGTCCTCAACTACAAGTGGTCCTTGCAGCTCACTCTCAGATGGGCCATACCACCACCAAGAGAACAGTTTAATGATTTAATTCCAATAATTTTTCTTCCAGTATGACATACCTCATGTTCCAAAATTTTTGTATCTGCCATCTCTTTATTATCAAGTTGAGGAACCCATTGCATGTTTTAGCAATCAAATGAGCTTTGCTATTTTCATTACAGCATACTTAGCAAGAAAAACCCAAAGATATTTTCAAAGTAGTCAGAAAACACTATTGTTTAATAACACTAATCAAATTAGCCTTCACCAAATATGACTATATGCAAATTAGATATACATACCAACTATACAAACACACTAATATAATAATTAATTTTGTAATTGGAGGCAGATGGCTGATAGTTAAACAATTCTGATTTTGTATTAAAATCAAAAAGTTAGTGAATGGTAATCATGATTATATCATGGTCAATTATTCCTTTCATCTAGTATTAATAATAAACAATGTTAGTAAATGCAATCCACGTTGTGGTCCATCTGGATCTCAGTCTTCAAGCAGGAAGGGCCTCTTTTCAATAATAATTACTAATTTTTACTTAAGGTTTTAGGAAGCTCAATATATTTGAGACCAAAATCCCCTTTGTTAGTTTTGCTCTGATGAAGAAAATTGATCTAGTCACTGAAGAGTCGTGCTCAGTCAGTGTGTCTTTCAACTGTGGAAAGAGATCCCTGAAGTTTCACTGCTTGTATCAGCCCAGTTTAGGCAATCTGTCTTGTTAACTGCCAGCACCCTTGTTTGTGTGGATTCCCACGCCTGAATCCTACCACAGGTGGAGCCTATCTCATCATAGTTCTTTCTGAGGCCCATCTTTCTATCTAGAAAGCCTTTCTTATTCATTTCTAAACCTTTTAAAAAGAGCTTCTGCTCAGGGGCTGTGCCATATGTCATCATTTATAAGATGGCCAAAAAAAAAAAAAAGTGATTTCTGTGTACTATGATCCTGGACCTTCGACACTGTGCTACATGCTGCTTTGTTTTTTTCGAGACAGGATCTCTCTGTGTACCTTTGGAGCTTATCCTGACACTCGCGCTGTAGACCAGGCTGGCCTCAAGCTCACAGAGATCCACTGCCTCTGCCTCCAGAGTGCTGGGATTAAAGGCATGTGCCCCCACCGCCCAACATTTTCATTTTTTGTCATTATGTCTTACCTTACTTCTAGATTACGCAGTGATGGAAGGAGCTATGACCATAAAGTTCTTATTTATGTGGGGTTCAACACAGAATGAACATACAGTAAATTTTTAAATGCATTTAAAAGTATATAAATACAACGTGAGTACCTACAAGCCACAGTTTCAAGGCAATCTTCCATCTTTACCCACTTTCTCAGAATTATAGTGTAGTATAGTTAGTATAGGAGTGTTAGCATCTTTTCCCCATAATAGAAAAGTTCAAAGACAGGCTCAGCTTTGTAGAATCACAGTTTGCTAGGGTGCTGACACTTAGTAGAATCTCAATGAACACTTGCCCAAAGGATGAGCACAAGGCTGAAAGAAGAGTGGAAATAAACTGCTACAAACCAAAGAGCTAACTTCTGGTTCTGACTTTAGCCACACAACCACTTCTACCTGTGGCAGAAACTACTTTTGCCTTTTTAAAATTAGTTTTCCTTGTCTGTAAGGCGAGACAATTGAATCAAGTCAACAGAGATCTCCTCTCTACAAGAGCAGGACGACTGTAAATATACCATAATACATAAACATTAAGGGATTACGATACTGTCCCTTTTTAAAAGATATATTATATTTATTTTATATTATGTGCATGGGTGTTTTGGCCGCATGTATGTCAATTGTATCACATGCATGCCTTTTGCTCACAGAGGCTAAAGAGGGTGTTGAATCCCCTGGCACTGGAGTTACAGGCAGCTGGGAGCCACTGTGTGGGTCCTCTGCAAGTGCTTTCAACTGTTGAGAAATCTGCGCAACCCAAACACTGTCCCCCTTTGAACACAGCTTTCAAAAAAAACCAAGTATTTACTATTTTAATCAACAACCAAATGAAGTTGAGCAAGGAAATGCAACATGGACTGAGTGAGAGGCCAAAGAGGCATCAAAGAGAAGAGAGGCTATTACTCGATGGAGAAGATGAAACATGTGGTATCTGAGGAGGAATGTGAGCAAAAGGTCAATGGATAAAAAGATGTTTCCTTCTTTCAAGTGCAAAAACAGATTCACTCAAACAACCCTCTATCTGTAAAGCCCTGAGATTTGTCACCATTGTGAATCCACAACTCAGAAGTCACTGCAATATCTACAAAAGAACATCACCTCCAAACACACACCAATCATCATGCTGCCTTCATGTAGAATAGAATTTCTAAGACACATTTATTACCTCCCAAGCTCAGAATTCTATCCTTGCTGCTTTGGAAAATGATTCAAATATAATCAAATATAAATCGCATTTATGTAGAAGTTTGCAACTAAATTCTCTAAGTTATTTAAAAGTATAATGGCATTTTACAAAATACACATAGAATTAAAAATTGTTAATATAAATGTCCCATTGTAAATTCAATCATTACTCTTTTAAAAAATGATTTCTAGTTTGGAGGTCTGGTTAATCTATGGGGCCTCTGGTAGTGAATCATTATTCATCCTTAGTACACGAACAGACTTGGGGAGTCCACTGCACATAGAGGGATACTCTCACAGCCTAGACACACGGGGAAGGGGAGTCTAGGCCCTGCTCCAAATGATATGCAAGACTATGAAGATCCCCCCATGGAAGGCCTTACCCTTCCTGGGGGGCAGAAAGGGGATGGGATAGGGAGTTGATGGGGTACAAGGGAGAAGGGGTGGGAGAGGGAACTGGGATTGATATGTAAAACAAGCTTGTTTCTAATTTAAATAAATAAAAAGAATAAAATTTTTAAAAAGAAATATTTTAATATGTTAGAGTAGGAAGATAAATTAGAACCTTTATTCTATTTGCCCAATGTCAAATGTGAAAAAGTAGTAAAAAAAATTCTAAGTAATGATGCTAAATTTTTTTACTAATTCTAAAAGGATATTATGAGAAGGAAAGAAGTCTCTTATAAATGATATAATAATATTAGAATTGGCTTTTTTATTTCAAACACAAAATCAAAGTAAGTTCATTAATACTGTATACAAAATGTAAACTCCAATCTCTCTCATTTGAAGACAGAGTTAGCACACTGTGTGGAAATGTTTATGGATGGATTCGGGCTTTCAGATTCTTTGCCAGCTGGTGCAAGTTTGAGAAGGGCACTATGAGAAGCAGTTGGCTACTTTCAGTACCCCCGGCAGAATTCTAGAGAAGACCACATAGAAACCACAAGATGTACCAATGTAATTCAGGTAAATCTTCTGTGTTGACATTTCTCTGGTTGTGTCTGCAGAAGGAAAGTGGAGCTGAAGACTGACCACAGTAGGTCTTACTCTGCCCAATAAAGGCAAGGGTTCAGATTAAAAAAAAAAGTCTCACAGTCAATGCTGGAACCATTTGTTGATCGCTTAAGAGAACTTCAGGCTATTCTATTTTCTACACCCCAGAAGTAGAAAATCAAGAGGTAACTTTTGCATTTGCTAAGAGCCTTTAAACACAAATATTGAGCTTTGTATGAAGGGGCACCCACTATGAGCAGGTATTTTGAATCACAAATAGCAGAAACCTCAATCAATCAGTCCTCAATTCTCAACTGAGGCCCCCACTGTCCTTCATTTTATCCCCTTGTTACTTATGTCCTCTGGCATGAATCCTAAACAACACAGAACAAAACTGCAAGACAAAAAATATCCAAGTGACTTTTTGGTTGGTTTGGTTTTTCTGCACAAGGAAGCAGAGTACCATGACAGCTTATGCTACAAACCCATCTCCATTTGGAAAGGAAATGTAAGACCAACACTATGAACCAAGGCACATGCATGTATATATATGAGCCCCTGTGATGTCAGACAAGACACTCAAGTCTCATTTGACTCAGCTGAAAACAATTCTGGAAGCTCACTTATAAATATCTAGCTTTGCATTCTGACACCACAGTTGTACAGCTGACCTTCTTGGGTGTGCAGCATACACAAATGCCACTGCATCTTTTTATGAGTATTGCCCAGACAATGACAAAAAAGGCAAAGTCACACTGAGCCACTGCTGGCTAGGGTCATGCCATGAATGACTCATCCACACAGAACCACCTCTCCAAGCTTCTGATTCCTATTGACTCAGTTGAATACTATGACAAGGCCCTTGAAGTCCCCACTGGAGATTACAGACCCCTGTGTCAAATCCTCCTGCAGCAACCATGTCCTTCTTAACCTTGGTATTAGATGGAGACTATGGAGTATCTCTGAAAAAAGTTCAGGGATCAACAGTAGAAGAATAAAGAACATGAGTCACCAACCACCTGAGATCATCAAATACAGCCTGTGCTGTATTTGTAGGTCACTCAAACTTCCTCAAGTCTAGTGCTGTCATCTACAATGGGAACAATTTGCTATTGAACTATCAAAAAAAAAAAAAAAAGAGGTGTTAGTAAGATGCCTGCTACAAGTGTTAGCATGGTTATGAGATCTTAAGGGACTTAAAACTATTATTAATAATTA